TCTGCGGCAAAACAAATAAGCAAGACAGCCTTATTTTCAATGTAAAATCTATTTAACAATAAATAATTCGTTTTTGTCCTGTTATATTTGCACAATTTGCATTTACCTTTCTGCTCATGGTTTTTTTTGACATTTTTTCGTTTATAAGTAGTCTTTCGAGACTACCAGCAAATCTGATGAAGGGCTGGTAGTTGAATTTTCCCACGACGATATGGGTATACATTAGAGTTTCATTGAATTTCGCATAGCTTTACTTTCCCAAAAGCAATTCGCACCCAGGCTGGATCGCATTTTCAACCTTGCCTAGCTACTATCAACAACCCCAGCGGGACTCGAACCATTACAGTGCAACGGGTAATCTCGACACGTCAGCCACCACGTCACATTGCCGCGAGTGACCGTGAGTTAGAGGGTAGATGTGAATTTAGAAGAAGGTCTGTCATTTTATATATCACATTCTGTGGTAAGATTGTCGAAGAAAACAAATTTACATTTGTCATAGCAATCGAAATAGGATGAATTCATCTCACATATATAACCTGCTGGTAGTCTCAAAAGCCTAATCATAAACGAAAACTAAGTAGGGTATTCGATTGCTATAGCAAATGAAATTTTGATGTACTGAAGCTGCTACCACAAATATGATATAGGGAAATGCCTGGCCTTTCATGAACTTCACATCTGTCCTGGAACCCTGGTTGACTCGTGGCGTTGCGACGTAATGGCTAGCGTGTCGAGGTTATGCGCTGAACTGTAATGGTTCGAGTTCCGCTAAGGGTGTTGACAAGTACGAGGTGAGTTGAAAAATGCAGTTCATCCTGGACTATAATACCTCTTGGGAAAGAAAGGCTATGCCAAATTAAATAAAAACGTCACGTGTAATCATATTGTTGTGGGAAAATTCAGCTACCAGTCCTTCATTAACTCAAATGAAATAGAGTGGTAGTCTCTAGAACCTCTTTTAAAACTATAATTCCCTCGTCATTCGGTGTCTAAGCTCAGCGCTGGACCAAATCAACTTTAAGCAGTTAAAATGCGTTTTGTCAGTTTACAAAATAAGCTGTCTCTGTAACCATACGCACATGCATAATTACATACATACATACAATCATACATGATGCACACATGCATACATACAGATATGTATGTATATTTGTCTCGCTGCTTACCTTTCTTATGCATATATGAATCCATGTAACTATTGTAATCATATTCCTTTTACAAATTTGCCTTACAACTTTGCTAATTATAATTGCATACTTCCTTCCTACATGATAATTTGTCTTATTATAGGCAAATCAATTTCTAGCTAAGGCCCGGTAGGCTGATGACTACGGTGACACACACACTCATACGCATACAGACCTTGACTTGCAGCTCCCTCTTCGGTCTTAAAAGTCATGGGATGCGATCCTTTGGTCAATCTTTGCCGTCTCTGAACTGCCGTTCTATGCTCCAACCAGCCTCCCCCGCCAGGAAGTAGGCCGAAAGCTCGACGAACCGGTCGCGTAGGCGGAGCCTGACCACTGGGTTGCCACACGAGAAGTCCGGCGCCAGCCTCTGGTGGGCTGAGTATCAAGTGTGGGGGATGAGCCAGGCCTGCAGCACAACTTGGCTTGTCCGTAAGGTCGGCAAATGTGCCATCGCTCCCACCGTCGCCAAAGAGTGTGGGAGAGGAGAACTTGACCGGTCCTTTCTGCTCACTGACGCTCCGATCGGGGCGTTCCAGGCATTGGGCAGCCGGACGCCTCAAAAGAGAGACAACCCCGTGCCGAGGTTCGGTATGCTCAAGTGGCTCGGTCTGCTGTAGACTTGAGGGTCGTCTGACCCGATGTGTGGTGACCATGTTGTGAAGGAGACGGAGCCAATCTGAGTCGAGACCAACAGGCACTGCGTT